CACACACACACACACCCATGCTCATGCACAGACCTATATTGTGGGTTTCATACATTTGATTTGCAGGGTAACCAGCAGGCTCAATGTGGGTGATTTCTAACAATACATTCATATCATTGTTAGCTCAAGTACCCTTTCTCTTCTAATTTACTGATTCCCACAATTCTTTGCAAATGAAAATAAAACACTTCAAATGTGACTGATAAGTGGGGATGAATCAAACCTTTAGTACTCACAAATGTAAATGATTTCTTCTGAATATAACACACAGCTGACATAGATTTTAGGCTTTCTGTGGCAACAACAGTATTTCATTGTAGTTTTTTTTTTTATTGTAGTTTACTCCTTTTCCTTGTTCGCCAGTGAATGTTTCACCAAATGACGGACAGAGTACAGAGGCTGTTGCAGTGAGGAATCTGAGCCCACCTCTGAAATGAGATTAGGCCTTAGGCCTTAGGTTTTTCACCCGCTCACACTCCTTGTTCTCTTTCAGCAAAATGATCAACCTGTCTCAGCCGGACACGATAGACGAAAGAGTCATCAACACAAAGAAATTTGCCACCTTCAAAATGACAGTGAGTAGGTTTTAAGTTTAAAAAATCCACAAAAGGCACACACTGCAAATACTGAGACATTACTCGGGTGCTGTAACACTTTCGGGCAGTCATATAATGAGGAATGCAAGCAAGGAAGCACCAGATTTGTAAAGAATAGTTCAAAATCTACTTGACTTATTTATGTAGGTTTATTTAGCAGTTAACCAAACCATTCCTGTTTTACGCGTAATACATTTTATTACTTTATATTGGGATGTCAACTCAGACAGCTGTAAGTGTAGATCTGTAAGACAGGGCAAAAAGAGCTTATAATATATTCACTTTTTTGCCACATTCTTCTTATTCTTTCTGTTTTATATCACTTGTGATTTTATAGTTGCCTCCTCTGCAGAGAAGTAAGGAAAAAGGTCTTAAATATTATTAAATATATTACTGGATGGTATTTGTGCATCCAGCCATCCATCTTCTAAAAGAATGCTGCATTTGATTTCTAATAAGTTAGTTATTATTTGGAGGATTCAGGCCACAGTCTTTGTTTTTTGCTGAGCTGTTGTTTGGCTATAGAATCGCTGACTTTGAGCAAAATTAAACACCTTGATAAACAGTTTATTTGCATTTGTAGGAGAATCTTGTCCTGGCTCTGAACTCAGCCTCAGCAATCGGCTGTATGGTGGTGAGCATTGACGCCCATGATCTGATGGCTGGGAAACCTCATCTGGTCCTGGGACTGCTCTGGCAGATTATCAAAGTTGGCCTTTTTGCTGATATAGAACTCAGCAGGAACGAAGGTCAGCACACACACACACACACAC